CTGAGACCACACTGATGAGGGCGTTGCTGTTTCTGGTTTTCTGTTCCTTTTTATTTGACAAACACTGAGGTATTCTTATGCCTGGGGGAGGGGGGGAGCATACTGGGTTTTTTGCCAAAGTAAGTCAACCAGGATTGAAACAGCAGAAAATTTTTACTTTAGAAATAAACCATGGACTTCCCTGGCGGTCCAGTGGTTAAGACCCCACGCCCCCAGTGCAGGGGGCACGGGTTCGATCCCTGGTCCGGGAACTAAGATCCCGCACGACGCAGCCAAAAAAACCCCCAGAAAACAAAAACCAAAAGCCAGAAGGAACCCACTCACTCCTGTCTAAAGTAGGATGATGACATTTGTGTGCCGTTAGCAAGGTCCTTCCCACCTCTCCCTGCCAGGAGCAGTGACTTGTGCCGTGTCTTTCAAATCAAGTTAGCACATGCAGCCTACAATAACTTTCGTTTTGAAGTAAGAAAAAATGCAGGGGAAACACCTAACCTTTGTGCTTGAGATTAACAAGGAAAATGATAAAACCTTGGCTCTATAAAAGACTAGTGCTGAACCAGCCTAGCTGCAAATTATTAATTTAGCCTTTGTGGTCATCATCATCATCTGGCCCCTGGTGTATTTTCAGCCTGGATAGCCCATCATAAAAACACATGTGGCATTTAATTTAAAATCATTAATACATAATTAATTGTGCCAGGAACTTGAGGAAGGAAGGGGAGAAAATTTTAATTGGCAGAGAGAATCTAGATGTTGCCTGAAGATTTATTCATTCACTGATTTTTTGTTTTTTCTGTGGTTTTGAGGAGCTATAAAGAGGTCAGATTGCTACAAAGAGGAGATGGAATTTAAAGGGCCAAGTTCATTGATCTTACTCTTAAATTGTTATAAATCAAAGACAAGCTTTCAGAATGTCAAAGAGAAAGCATCTCTGATACAGGACAACTTATTCTGGTGGTTGGTTTGGTAAACAAGAGGGTGTTTTGTTTTTGCTGGTTGGGTTTTTCTCATGAATAATTCTTTCTAATAGGTGAATCTCATAGGATTTACCCATTCCAGGGCTATTTTCTGGAAACATGGAATTCAGGTTCAGTGTCTAGATTTGCTTGTCTTCAGAGTGACTTATTGAGGGATGTAGGAATCAGGTTTTGTGCATGGTTAATATTTAATTAGATCGCTCCCAGAAATATCTAGTGAGCTGCCAGCCAGACCTCATTGGTGGAAAGGACGAGGAGAGCTGAGGTTGCTGCTTACACGTCTCCTTCTGGACAGAAAATAGTATATCCAACCCACCGACACACCTTCCCTTTGAACTGCACTGCCTGTGGCTTCACGTTGACCACAGCGTCCTGTGTAGCAGAGGGGCACTTTGGTTTCCTTAGAACTTAAGTTCCATACCATCCAGCTAGCCTCGCTTTTCCTCCTGGGTTTCTGGGTCAAGAGGAGGAAAAATGCTTCCATATTTGCTTTCTTGACTGGCCACACCCTGTTTTGCAAAAAGGTTCCTTCCCCGCCCCAGTTGGGAGTGTGAAGGAAGGGGGCAGTCATGCGTCCTTCTTGTGGCAGGTACTTGTGTTTGCTGTATGATGTGGGTATGCGAGTGCGTGTGTGTAATCCCAGGGGCACTGTCCAGAAAGCTGGTCTATTCTTCCCCAAGACTTTAGTCCCTTTGGTGATAAAACCCCTTTTCAAAATGGAAGTGACAAAATTGTATTGGCTTTTTGTTGTTGTAGTATTCTGAATGCAGAATAGTGTGGAATACAGTGTACCTGTATGTTCTGAACCTGAAAATTGATTGTCTCGTTAAAAAGATGGTGTGGTATCATGGAAAGCGGTAACTAACACCCGAGTGCTAGCCTGTGTTCCTGGGCATGGTGCTTAACTCCTGTTTCCTGGTCTATAAAAATAGAGATAATTCCATCTACTTTCTAGGGCTGTTTTAAGGTATAGAAATGGTGGGGTGGGCTAAAGAGGGACCCCTCAAAGATGTCCACGTCCTAATTCCTGGAACCTGTAAATATGTTACAGCCCTGGGTAAGAAAATGCTAATCAGCTGACCTTAAAAATAGGGGGCGTAGCCTGGGTTATCCAGGTGGGCGCAGTGTAATCACAGGGCCTTTAAATTAAATGTGGAAGAGGGAGGCCGGGGAGGAGGTCAGGGTGGTGTGAGGTGAGGACAACACCACCAGACATCGCTGGCTTTGAAGCTGGAGGAACGTGGGCATCCTCTAGAAGCTGGAAAAGGCAAAGAAATGGACTCTTCCACAGAGCCTCTAGAAAGAAACGCAGCCCTACTGGCACCTTGATTTTAGTCCCGGAAGCCCCGTTTTGGACTTCTGACCTCCGGAACTGTAAGATGATAAATTTGTGTCGTTTTAAACCACTGAGCCAATAGTGGCCGTTTGTTGTAGCAGCAATAGGCCACGAATACCTACAGGATGCAAAACACGTAGTACAGTGCTCTGCAAATGGTCAGCTAGCCGTCTTTCTCCCTTCCCCACCCCCAAAAAGCTTTATTTGAGAACTGTTTCATACCTTCCATGAGGGAGGGGATCCATCTTTGAGGTATAGCATGGGGGAGGACTCAGCAGATTGGAGTCCTGGAAATGCTAAACTCCAACCTTGCTTCTTCCTTGTCTAAGTGCGCCTTTGCCATCTGGGCCTCGGTTTCCCCTGCAGGAAATGGAAACAGAGCCCAAAAGCTTCCTCTAAGGTTAGGATGAGAGAGGGGCCACGCTGCTCAGTACACCAGGCCCGGCAGGGAAGAAGGGCATTAGATACAGGCATATGGGGTAAAGCTCTGCAGGTGTTAGGGATTTTTTGGTGGGGTGGGAGCTGTGGAGGGGGAGCAGCAGGTGGAAAACTGTTCGTAGGTCCAATTTTCCAGGTCAGTGATGTGTCCCCTCTGCAGCCTCTGTGGAACTGCAATCTTGTAAAAATTAACATTTATTGACACTCAGGGCTTCTCAGGCCAGCTCACGTTAGAAAAACGCTGTCCAGTAGAAGCAGAATAGGAGCCACGTGTATCGTTTTTAGATTACCTAACCACATTAAGACGCAAACAGAAACAGGTGAAATTCACTTTAATCATATATTTAGCCCATTGTATCCAAAATATAGCCATTCCAACACGTAATCACTATAAAAATTATGAATTATACATTATTTTCCTCCTACCAAGTCTTCAAACTCCGTTTTGTGTTTGTTATAGCACATCTCAATTTGGGCTCACATTTCAGGCATTCATTAGCCACACGTGGCCAGCAGTTACCGGATTGGACGTCGGGGTGTTAGAATCACCTGGGGCGATTTTAAACTCTTCTATGTCTAAATGCTGGAGATTTGGAGTGATTTGGCTTGGATTGGAGTCCTGGGCGCATAGGTCTATTTTCTTAAAGTTCCCCAGCCGGGAATTCTTTAGAATCTCATTACTGAAGGCAAGCCACAGGACACAGACAGGTGTTTGGGAACTTGAGTTTCTGGTTTGAAGGCTGTTCCCAAATTGGCAATAGTCTTTTGGATTCCCATCCTTTGCACACTGTTTTCTCTGCCCTGACTTCCCTTCCCACATATGCCAACACCCCCTCTGCCAGGCAGGCAGACTTATGCACACTCCCCTTTTAAAAAAAAATTTTATTGAAGTATATTTGATTTACAATGTTGTGTTTAATTTCTGTTGTACAGCACAGTGACTCCGTTATATATGTATATTCTTTTCTGTTGTGGTTCATCACAGGATATTGACTATAGTTCCCTGTGCTCTACAGTAGGACCTTGTTGTTTATCCATCCCATATGTAATGGTTTACATCTGCTGACCCCAAACTCCGTCCTTCCCTCCCCCACCCCCTCCCCCTTGGCAACCACAAGTCTGTTCTCTAGTCTGTAAGTCTGTTTTTGTTTCGTATTTGGGTTCATTTGTGTCGTATTTTAGATTCCACATATAAGTGATATCATATGGTACTTATCTTTTTCTGACTCGCTTCACTTAGTATCATAATCTCTAGGTTCATCCATTTTGCTGCAAATGGCAT